CTTTGCATGCATTTTTGATGAAGAAAAAAGGCTCTGGACAGCATCTGGATATGGACCTGTCAAAAAACGCGTCTAAACGCAAACGCTTGTAAACGCGGTTAACTGCGTTTACCCGAGTTTGGAGTTTGAAACGCCGGTAAAATCTACTCCTGAACGCAATTTTGGTGCGTTCAAAAAAACAACTGTAAACGACTATGTGTACATGGACACATAGGAAAACATAAAAAGGAGAGTTCAGAGGCTGCTGAAAAAAAACGCTCAACAGCTCCTGAACGGCAGTTTAGCAGCTGCAGAGTACAGGAGCCCTAAAACAGCTCTTCATACCCTTCCCTGCACTACTCCTCCAACAAAAGAAAAACGTTTTTGCCAACTCAAACATGCTGACAGAAAAGGGGTTAGTACTTCCAAGGAGACAATGTACATGTAAATTGCTATATACCAAAGACATGCATAGTACAGCTAAACATACATTACTTGGATGATAATAGCTATAGCAACAATCGTGTTCTGCGAACAAAAATGCCATCAAAACCTTTTTTTTCCCCTAAAGAGCTTTAATAGGATGCTGGTCTGAATGTTCTGCAGTCTTGGCCTGCACTGTTAACTTCTACAAAATTCATGAGCAGTCAATTATTTGTTTTTAGCTTGAGGTGTTAGTGGAGCAATGAAGGCTTAAAAGGGCAGCTACTCATATAACAGCTCTGAGTGCTCCTCAGAGGGGCTCAACTTGCACAAATCGCTCGTGTTTGTTTGCAAGGAAATATCAGCTGCTCCCGTCTTCTCTATTAGCACAAGGAAGGAGTACAATCGTTTAAAAGGGGAGTTCTAGTTTAGTTCACACATATAATAAATCTTTGCTTTTGGGTTTCCTCCCACACTCCAAAGACACGCTGGTAGGTGAATTGGATCCTGTCTAAATTGGCCCTAATATGTGTATGTATGAATGTGAGTTAGGGACCTTAGATTGTACACCCCTTGAGGGTTAGGGACTGATGTGAATGTTCAATACATATGTGTAAAGCGTAAATTGACAGCACTATACAAGTACCTGAAATAAATAAATACCACTATTAAACCCAAAAGTAAACATTTATATTACAAACTTACCAATTCTTAGATAGGACAGCTGCATTCGTTTTCTTGTTTGGGCTTTCTTTCCTTTAATTCCATCAGGTGATCTGGCCAGTAAGTCTGTTATTTTAATCACTTGCCTGCCGCCCCATAGCAGATGTATTGCTACAGGGCAACTTCACTGGGCAAAAATCACATAAATGTACATGATTTTGCATTACAGGTAAGGGGGCGTGCGCGCACGCCACCCTACCCGTGCTGCTATTGGCTCCTGAGGATTTCAATCACAGGGTCCCAGCTGGCGACTTTCGGCCAGGAATTGATGATTGTCGGCGATCTCTCCTGTAAGCATGACCATGCTGCTTTCGATCTCTCTGCTGTGCAGAGAGATAGAAAGCAACAGGTCTGCTTAACCGAAATATTATTATACAGTATTTATATAGCGGCAAAGGGTATGCTCAGCGCTGTACAGTAGCAAGGGGGACAGAACATGAAACAAGACAGTAACAATACAGCACACGAGAGGTTTGAGGGCCCTGCTCTTTCGAGTTTACAATCTAGGAGGGAGAGGAAAGTGGTACAGGAGGAAATGGCTGTGGGGGATGGAGTGGTGGGAGGAGTGGAGGAGGTTAGTTGTTAGGTGAGGTCAGGTGTTAGGTGAGGTTGGGGTAGGCTTCCCTGAAGAGGTGGGTTTTCAGAGTGCGCCTGAAGGTGAGGAGGGTAGGTGACAGTCTGATGGATTGGGGTAGGGAGTTCCAGAGGATGGGGGAAGTGTTGGAGAAGTCCTGCAATCGGGCGTGGGAGGAAGAGACCAGGGAGCTAGAGAGTAGGAGGTCCTGTGAGGAGCAGAGGACACGGGTAGGGTAGTATTTGGGTATCAGGTCAGTTATGTAGTTTGGGGCGGTGTTGTGGATGGCTTTGTAGGTCAGAGTTAGCAGTTTGAATTTGATGCGTTGGGCAATCGGGAGCCAGTGAAGGGATTGGCAGAGGGGGGAGGCAGATGTGCAGCGGTTGCTGAGGTGGATGAGTCTAGCCGCTGAGTTCAGGATAGACTGGAGTGGGGATAGCATTCGTTTGGGTAGGCCGGTGAGAAGGGAATTGCAATAGTCTAGGCGTGAGATGATGAGGAAGTGTACGAGTTGTTTGGTGGTGTCTGGGGGTGAGGAATGTGCGTATCTTGGAGATGTTGCGGAGGTGGAGCCTGCAAGATCTAGATAGCAGTCGGATGTGGGGTAGGAAGGAGAGGTGGGAGTCCAGGGTGACACCCAGGACTTTGACGTGTGGGATGGGAGAGATGGTGCCGTTGCTAGTAGTGATGGAGAGGATGGGGGGGGGCACAAGACCAGGAGCTCGGTTTTGGATAGGTTAAGTTTGAGGAAATGAAGCGACATCCAGTCTGATATGTCGTTTAGGAGGTGGGAGATGCGGGCGGACAGTGAGGGGGTGAGGTGGGGGGGTGGAGAGGTAAATTTGGGTGTCGTAGGCATAGAGGTGGTAATTGAAGCCATGGGAGTGAATAAGTTTGCCAAGGGAGGAGGTATAGATGGAGAAGAGGAGGGGTCCGAGGACAGAGCCTTGGGGGACCCCGACAGAGAGGGGGAAGGAGGGGAAGGTGGCAGTGTTGTAGGTGATGCTGAAGGAGCGTTGGGAAAGGTAGGAGGAGAACCAGGAGAGAGCAGCGTCCTTGATGCCAAGGGAGTGCAGTTTGGCAAGGAGGAGAGGGTGGTCAACAGTGTCGAAGGCCGCGGAGAGGTCGAGGAGCAGGAGGATAGAATAGTGGCCATTGGCTTTGGCTGTTAGCAGGTCGTTGGTGATTTTAAGTAGGGCGGTTTCGGTGGAGTGCAGGGGACTTAGGCGATTGTAGGCCAGGCGCTCAAGGAGCTTGGAAGTGAAAGGCAGCAGGGAGGTGGGTCTAAGGTTGTTAAGGTTAGTGGGGTCAAGGGAGGGAATCTGGTGTTGCACCATAAGCGTTCTAGCGCGCGACTGCGTTGTTTGAGACATACTGCTACAGGGTAGCAGGGCTGTGCATTTACGGCTTCAGCTGTCGATTACAGTGCCAGGCCGGTGATTCCCCGCCTGCACCCGGCGATTGCTGAGTATCACTGACAGGGGAGAGGTCTGTATGTAAACAATACAGATCTCTCCCGTGTCAGCTCCTGCACATTGCTTTGTATTGCTCTGCATAGCAGAGCAATACAAAGCAATGTGCTTACACAGTACAACACACACACAGCACACAGTAAAACAGCACACAGTTCACCCTTTGATTGTCCCAGACGTGAACCCCTTCCTACCCAGTGCCATTAGTACAGTGTGTTTTTTTATTAGCACTGATCCCTGTATTAGTGTCACTGGGGATGTCAGTGACAGTTAGTCAGTTCCCCCCTGTGTCTGAATGCCCATATACACGTATTGAGATTTTTTTTTTTTAGCAAAGACATGTAGCAGAATACATTTTGGCCTAAATTTATAAAGGAAATTAGTTTTTTTTAAAATTTTTTTACTGGACATGTTTAATAGCAAACTGTAAAAAAAATAGCTTTTTCTCAAAATTGTCGGTCTTTTTTTTTTATAGCACAAAAAAATGTTAACCCCTTCCTGACTAGTGTCATTAGTACAGTGTCAGTGCTTTTTATTAGCACTGATCACTGTATTAGTGTCACTGGAGAGGTCAGTAGCAGTTGGTCAGTTCCCACCCAGTGTCAGCATGCCCGCCGCTGTCTCGATATAAGTCGCTGATCACCGCCATTACTAGTATAAAAAAAAAAAAAAATCAATAAAAATTCCAGTATATATACACCGCCATTTGTAAACGCTATAACTTTCACATAAACCAATTCATTTACATGTATTGGGATTTTTTTTTTTTAGCAAAGACATGTCGCAGAAAATATTTTGGCCTAAATTTATGATGAAATTTTATTTTTACACTTTTTTATTGCATATGTTTAATAGCAGAAAGTCTCAAATATATATTTTTTTTTTTTTTTCAAAACGGTCGGTCTTTTTTTGTTTATAGAGCAAAAAATAAAAGACGAGGTGATCAAATACCACCGAAAGAAAGCTCCATTTGTGGGAAAAAAATGACAAATCTATGTACAGCATTGCATGACCGTGCAATTGTTAGTTAAAGTAACGCAGGGCCATTTCACAAAAAATGGCCTGGTCAGGAAGGGGGGGAAATCTTCTGGAGGGCAAGTGGTCAACAGAACAAGCTGTCCTGCAGATGCAACAGTTAGAGGGTTTAGACATTTATTGTGGACAGGGGCATTTACAATGGTCATTTATGTAAAACCTTTATCCCAAAAAAGGAACAAAAAACTGTTCCTGTAACTGCTAAAAGTGTGAACTGGAGACTGACAATGCTGCTGTCCAGAGATGTCTACACTCTGAATGACGGAGCAACAGAGACACCCTAATATAGGAGGTGTGTAACTGGCCAGATCAACAGGTAAAAGCAGAGGGGGGAAAAAAACAAATGCAGCTACCACATCTAATGATTGGTAAGCACAATATATTATATTTTTGGTTTGGGGTTTTACTACCGCTTTACGGCAGAATTCCTCTTTATAGCAGATTGTTTTCAAACTAAACAAATACTCAAATTTCGAATGTACTGCATATGCTTCAGCTGAACTCCAGGCAGACATAAAAGTCACCCATGAAGCAGCTAGATATGAGTAAATCATTGCATTTGGATTTTAAAATGAAACAAGTCTAAGTACTTACATTTGACTTGGTACCAGTCTCTTGGATTCCCCTACACAGCAGCACTTGTACTGGGAGAGGGAAGGGGAAGGACTGAGAGCCAATCAGGTGTGCTGCATGCAAACATACCAACAAAGAACATGCTGATAGGAGGAGAGAGAGCAGAGGGAGCAGGCAAATGACCTCATCAGTCGTCTTCTGCCCAGGGGTGGACTGACAACTCATGGGGCCCCCGGGCAATAGGGGATCATGGGGCCCCTGTGTCCTTGCTCAAACTCAAAAAAGCCTATGAAAAAGGTACCAGGGGCATCTCATGGGGCCCCCTACTGACCCCGGGCCCTCGGGCAGTGCCCGAGTTTCCAAATGGTCAGTCCGCCCCTGCTTCTGACCTTTCACTGTCCAATCAGCAAGCCAGGGTTGGAGAAAAGTCACCAATGAATCCCTTCTACAGTCTATAATTGTAACAGAAAAAGTGATGCCATCTACCTGCCTGTGCTCTGTGGCAGGGCTAGGTGAAACACAGAACAGGATTGAAAGAAATACAGATGCGTTTGGCAGCTAAAACCAGGGGTGTGGAAATTTAAAAAAAAAAAAAAAAACAACTACTTGTCCAAGGGACTAAATTGGGGTCCCAATCTACTTGTCCCTCATGACAGTCTAATTGTCCTGATGAAAAAAAAAAAAAAATAATAATTTTAACCAAAACCATGTTTAAATCTGAGATGCTTTTAGGAATGTCTGGGACTTAGAAAAATAAAAGAGGCTTTATGGCAACTTAAACTTTTAGAGCGGATTCACATTCACACGCGTGGTGCGGACTGAAGCTCAGGTTTCACAGCTAATTGATACAGTAGCTGTTCACAGGTTCATGTCAGGTTTATGTCGGGTTCAGGACGGGATCAGCTCAGGATCTTATCCTGTTCACACATGTAATCCACACCTGGACCTGAAGGCACTGCTCAGAAGTTGAACATGGCTCTTTTAAAAACCACACTAAGGGTTGGTTCACACTACAGAAACGCAGTTCAGATACGTTCTGATTGCATTTTTGCAGGTGCGGTTTTTTACGTGTTTTTGGCACATTCCTGGGCGTTTGACGCGTTCCACTGCATTTTTTATGCGTTCCAGTTCATTTCCCCCCTCTGTTTCTGCAATTTAAATAGGGACATGTGCCTTCCAGTGTGTTTTTGGTGCGTTCTTGAGGCATTTTACCGAGTCCCAGTACAGTTCTGTGCAGAAAAAAAATGCAGCATGTTCTATTTTTTTTCTGCATCCGGAATGCACTGGAACTTCAAGCACTGATGTGAACTATGACATTGACAACCATATAACCTACTTTCTGTGCATTTTGGATGCAGAAAAAAAATCAACTGAAACGCATGTAGTGTGAACTGGTCCTGAATCCGCACCAGACATATGTGAACAGGCACCATAGGAAGTAATGTTATTTCACATTTTATGCGGATTGGATGCAGGTCAAACCACAACCAATCCGCATATATGTGTATGGGCACTTAACATGGGCTCACACTGATGCGGTGCGGAATTCACACGGGTTTCTGTGCGATTTCCACAGCACATCATAATTGCACCCCGTTCATACGAACCATTGTGGGTGTATATTTTAGGATAACGACACCCCAAAATCAGTTCTCAAAATGCATTGCGATGTGCAGAATCGGATTGCATGGGTGTGAACATCCATGCGATCCGATTCTGGTGCGGGCTGAAAAAGGGTCCTGCACTTTTTTGGTGTGGATGCGGTCGATTTGAGCCATACATAATGTAAGGCTCAAATTGCTCCGCACAGAAATTGCATGTGATTTGCACAGGAATGCGGTGCGGTTCCTGTGCGAATCACATGCGATGTGCCGCACTGTATCAGCATTAATATTTTTAACATTGAGCTGTATATCCCTTACTCACCTCCCTGCCTGTCTCCAGCACCGCACCCAGGGACTAGCAGGGAGGGGAGAGACCTTGCAGTGTGCAGAACACCGATTGGGTGCTCATCAGGAAAGGGGAGTGTCAGACTCTTTTAACGCTCAGCAGAAGTGGATCTACTGGGTGAGTAAATGAGGCGTTAGCTTCAATGAGAAAAAAAAAAAAACTTTATTCCTTCAGGTTACCCTTGCACACAGAAGCACAAGCACAAGCTGAGCCCCAGGGGCGGAGCCCCTCATGGCCACATTCTTGAAAAAGTGAAAGCTTGAACTTCTCCCGTACTGCTGTCACACAGAGGGCTCAAATTGCCGAACTGCTGCAGGAGCAGGAAAATATTACCTGTTCCAACCTAAAAATGGGTGGAACATGTAACCCGAAGGGAAACTTATCCTTTACTCCTTTCGCTGCCAGAGCGGTTTGTCTTTTTTGGAAATGTTTTTTAAAAAAAAAATAATAATCATTGAAGAGTACATGAAACCCCCAACAAACAGCATATTTTTTTTGAAAGCAGACACCCTAGAGAATAAAATAGTGGTAGGTCCAATTTTTTAGGGCACATGATAAGACACACTAAAGTTAGTTTTAGGGCACAAAAACACAATAAATGACCCAATTTTTTGTAATATATAAACAGATGAAGCAGCACCGAGTAAAACGATATCCAACATGTCAAATGTTAAAATTTGCATGCCACTGTGAAATGGCGACAAACTTCAGTACCCTATATTTTCTATAGGTAACGCTTAAAAGCCCCCTTATAGGTCATCAGTTTAGCATTACGGGGGAGGTCTGGTGCTAGAATTATTGCTCTCATTCCAGCATGTGCTGCTATATGTAACATGTATAGCAATTGACGTTTTTATCCGTAGGCTCCCCAACGCACGCATTTATGTTTACACATGCATATATGTCGGGGGGGGGGGCCTCATTTTTTTTGGGGGGGTTATTTTATGTGCTTATGTGTAACTTTATTTTTTTACAATTATAATTTTTTTTTTTAACTTTTTTTTACCATCACATAGGAGACAAAAAATCCCCTGTATGATGATTTTTTGGTGACAAGTTCTCTTTCATGAGATATTCAGGGTTTAAAAAATGACCCTGGATTTCTCCTCTGTTCGCCACTGAATGTAATGCTTTGCAGAATGCACTGCATTATATTCTTTCCCAGCCTTGATGGCCAGGGACACTGACAATGGGGACCCAGAAGTGACATCATACATGTTGCTTCCGGGTCAAGAACAAGATGGGGACATGTGTCCGCTCTCCTTTCTCCCCTCTGTCCACTGGCACCTGATGTCCCAGGCCCGAACATGGGCAGGAGGAGGCTGGGATACATAGCAGGGGGCACTTTACCGGCAAGTGTGGAAGCAATCAGGCGGCAGTGGAGCCACCCGATTGCTTTCCACCTGACAAGTAAATGTAGGAAAAAAGTTTCTGTCCGGCACCCAGAACTATATGTCCCGGGTGTCAGGAGATAGGATTAGCGCATCCCTGTAAACCAGTAACCTTACTGTATATATACAGTTAGGTCCAATTTTAGATTTTTTCAGGTATTTACAAAAACATATTCAATATATAGTTATATAATGGATATGGGCTGAAAGTGCACACTCTCGGGTTTAATATGAGGGTATGTACATCCAAATTGGAGGAAGGGTTTAGGAATTACAGCTCTTAAGAGTAGCCCACCCCCCCCCCCCTTTTTCAAGGGACCAAAAGTAATTGGACAATTGAATATAATCATAAATAAAATGTTAATTTTTAATATTTTGTTGAGAATCCTTTACTGGCAATGACTGCCTGAAGTCTGGAACCCATGGACATTACCAAAGACTGGGTTTTCTCCTTTGTCATGCTTTGCCAGACTCTAACTGCAGCTGTCTTCAGTTCTTTGCTTGTGGGTCTTTCTGCCTTTAGTTTTGCCCCTCTGTGCTGGTGGTCAGTCAGTCAGTGGAACATTGCCCCTCTGTGCTGGTGGTCGGTCAGTCAGTGGAACATTGCCCCTCTGTGCTGGTGGTCGGTCAGTCAGTGGAACATTGCCCCTCTGTGCTGGTGGTCGGTCAGTCAGTGGAACATTGCCCCTCTGTGCTGGTGGTCGGTCAGTCAGTGGAACATTGCCCCTCTGTGCTGGTGGTCGGTCAGTCAGTGGAACATTGCCCCTCTGTGCTGGTGGTCGGTCAGTCAGTGGAACATTGCCCCTCTGTGCTGGTGGTCGGTCAGTCAGTGGAACATTGCCCCTCTGTGCTGGTGGTCGGTCAGTCAGTGGAACATTGCCCCTCTGTGCTGGTGGTCGGTCAGTCAATGGAACATTGCCCCTCTGTGCTGGTGGTCGGTCAGTCAATGGAACATTGCCCCTCTGTGCTGGTGGTCAGTCAATGGAACATTGCCCCTCTGTGCTGGTGGTCAGTCAATGGAACATTGCCCCTCTGTGCTGGTGGTCAGCAAATTTAAGAGGAACTTGAGCTGTGAATGTATGGGTTGTTTTTTGTAAACTAAAACCTCACTATTCATGTTTAATTGCAGTGTTGGCACTTTGTGATACATAAGTGGGTTTTGGGTCGCAGTCTGAGCCAGGGGCGGACTGACAACTCATGGGGCCCCTGGGCAATAGGGGATCATGGGGCCCCTGTGTCCTTGCCCAAACTCAAAAAAAGCCTATGAAAAAGGTATCAGGGGCATCTCATGGGGCCCCCTACTGACCCCGGGCCCTCTGGCAGTGCCTGAGTTTCCAAATGGTCAGTCCGCCCCTGCTCTGGGCACTCAGGTTTCAAAAGGTTTGCCATTACTGATCTAGGACATATCCAGCTCAAGCTGTCATGTTACAAATGGAAGAAGAAACACGAAACAAAACAAGGATGCATTTACTAGGGAAAGTGATAACATGAAACCCAAACCAAGTCGTGCAAGAATTTCAAAGTGCCCTGGCTAAACCCTTAGGGGTTGATTTACTAAAGGCAATTGGACTGTGCACTTTGGAAAGTGCAATTTCACACTGCAAGTGCAGTTGCTCCAGAGCTTAGTAAATGAGGTATAGCTTTCCTTTGCCAAGAATACCCAATCACATGCAAGGAAAAATGTAAAAAACAGCATTTTTGCTTGCACATGATTGGATGGTGGAAGTCAGCAGAGCTTCTGTGCATTTACTATGCTCTGGAACAACTGCATTTACAGAGTGCAATTGCTCGTTGCAAAGTGCACAGTCCAATTGCCTTTAGTAAATCAACCCCTTAAAGTAATGCCCCATACACACTATAAGAAAATCGTACAAAAATTTTCGTACGAGGACCGATCGTCCGATAATCAGATCGTTAGTACACAGCTTGTGAGAGCAGATCACAACAAGTTGTACAACAATATCCGAAGGGACAAGCGCAAAAATGTTTCTCGTACGATACCAGATCATAAGATTTTCGTTTAATCAGTACAATAGTCATCTGAAAATACAATACAAATAAAACGCAATACAAGACATCACTTTCTAAATTCTTTTCTTTCATAGGAGAATTTTCGTATCTTTAGTAACCTTTTCACTTTCAATGTAAGACTAGCAGGCGAAAAAAACGGCCGATCGTTCATCCGATATTCTCATCTGCCTTTGAATCAGCCTGGTAAAGCTCACAAAACCATCTCTGACACCAGCATTTTAGGTCTGTAAAAAGTCACACCTGGCCAGGACATTGATTTATCACAGCTGCGTCTCTGGTACCTAGATACTATTAAAGGGGCAGCAGGCTATGATCCACCCAGTCAAGCCGCTAATCCACCAACATGCAAGAAAACAAAACAAAACAAAACAAAAAACAGAAAAAAAAAAAAAAAAAAAGCAGGTGCCCATATAGAGTGAGTGATAGCATGGAAACCAGAATTGTATAGGTATTGATTTTTTATTTTTCATTATCAAGAGAATCAAAAAGGAAACTGTATATTTATAGGTGATTTATAAGTACTGTATAGCAGGACTTTGAAAGAAAACTAAGAAAAAAATATCAAACCAGCAGAAACGCATGCGATGCAACAGTAAATTACCTGTGTCTATGTTCCTGCTTTGGATGAAATGTCTGGCAGGAAAAAAATGTGCGTTCCACAAATGTTTTGAGCCTGCAACGGCAACAAAAGCCTCTCTGTGACACCATGTTGTCTGTGTGCTTTATGGACATGTCAAGCAATTTGTGAAAAACATAAATCTGACTTTGCAATGTACCCTCCACATTTTACACATGTTGGTAAATGCACACCTTATAAACGTTGAAACAGTTAAAAGGAGATTCTTCAGACCCCTGGACCCCTTCCCTATGAATAAAATTAAAAGTCAGCAGCTACAAATACTGTAAGCTGCTGACTTTTGAAAAAAGGACACTTACATATCCAAGGATCCAGCACTGTTCTCACCCAGACCAGTTCTTCGCTGGTCTTTTGGTCCCCGGTAGCACCAACTGTGCATGTATGAGCCACGCTGCATCCTGTAAATGGTCCCACGGCCTTCTGGGACTTGTACTGTGTCCCAAGAGGCTGCGGGGCAGAGGAGGGGGACCTGAAAAGTGCCCAAAAGTTAAAGAGGAGCAGGGACTAGGCAGAAAAGCAAAGTGTGCCCTCAGGAGTGACGTTCTGCTTTAATTATCATTATAAAAATCATGGGCAGCACAGTGGCTAAATGGTTAGCACTTCTGCCTGGCAGTACTAGGGTTGTTGGTTCGAATCCCAACCATGGCACCTCCTGCCTCGAGTTTGCATGTTCTCCCTGTGCCTGCGTGGGTTTCTTCCTGGTACTCTGGTTTCCTCCCACACTCCAAAGACATGCTGGTAGGTGAATTAGCTCCTGTCTAAATTGGCCCTAGTATGTGTATGTACAGTCAGGTCCATAAATATTGGGACATCAACACAATTCTAACATTTTGGGCTCTATACACCACCACAATGGATTTGAAATGAAACAAACAAGATGTGATTTAACTGCAGACTGTCAGCTTTTAATTGAGGGTATTTACATCCAAATCAGGTGAACGGTGTAGGAATTACAACAGTTTGCATATGTGCCTCCCACTTGTTAAGGGACCAAAAGTAATGGGACAATTGGCTTCTCAGCTGTTCCATGGCCAGGTTTGTCTTATTCCCTCATTATCCCAATTACAATGAGCAGATAAAAGGTCCAGAGTTCATTTCAAGTGTGCTATTTGCATTTGGAATCTGTTGCTGTCAACTCTCAAGATGAGATCCAAAGAGCTGTCACTATCAGTGAAGCAAGCCATCATTAGGCTGAAAAAACAAAACAAACTCATCAGAGAGATAGCAAAAACATTAGGCGTGGCCAAAACAACTGTTTGGAACATTCTTAAAAAGAAGGAACGCACCGGTGAGCTCAGCAACACCAAAAAATCCGGAAGACCACGGAAAACAACTGTGGTGGATGACCAAAGAATTCTTTCCCTGGTGAAGAAAACACCCTTCACAACAGTTGGCCAGATCAAGAACACTCTCCAGGAGGTAGGTGTATGTGTGTCAAAGTCAACAATCAAGAGAAGATTTCACCAGAGTGAATACAGAGGGTTCACCACAAGATGTAAACCATTGGTGAGCCTCAAAAACAGGAAGGCCAGATTAGAGTTTGCCAAACGACATTTAAAAAAGCCTTCACAGTTCTGGAACAACATCCTATGGACAGATGAGACCAAGATCGACTTGTACCAGAGTGATGGGAAGAGAAGAGTATGGAGAAGGAAAGGAACTGCTCATGATCCTAAGCATACCACCTCATCAGTGAAGCATGGTGGTGGTAGTGTCATGGCGTGGGCATGTATGGCTGCCAATGGAACTGGTTCTCTTGTATTTATTGATGATGTGACTGCTGACAAAAGCAGCAGGATGAATTGTGAAGTGTTTCGGGAATATTATCTGCTCATATTTAGCCAAATGCTTCAGAACTCATTGGACGCCGCTTCACAGTGCAGATGGTCAATGACCCAAAGCAGACTGCAAAAGCAACCAAAGAGTTTTTTAAGGAAAAGAAGTGGAATGTTATGCAATGGCCAAGTCAACCACCTGACCTGAATCCGATTGAGCATGCATTTCACTTGCTGAAGACAAAACTGAAGGGAAAATGCCCCAAGAACAAGCAGGAACTGAAGACAGTTGCAGTAGAGGCCTGGCAGAGCATCACCAGGGATGAAACCCAGCGTCTGGTGATGTCTGTGCGTTCCAGACTTCAGGCTGTAATTGACTGCAAAGGATTTGCAACCAAGTATTAAAAAGTGAAAGTTTGATTTATGATTATTATTCTGTCCCATTACTTTTGGTCCCTTAACAAGTGGGAGGCACATATGCAAACTGTTGTAATTCCTACACCGTTCACCTGATTTGGATGTAAATACCCTCAAATTAAAGCCAACAGTCTGCAGTTAAAGCACATCTTGTTTGTTTCATTTCAAATCCATTGTGGTGGTGTATAGGGCCAAAAATGTTAGAATTGTGTCGATGTCCCAATATTTATGGACCTGACTGTATGAATGTGAGTTAGGGACCTTAGATTGTACACCCCTTGAGGGTCAGGGACTGATGTGAATGTACAATATATGTATGTAAAGCGCTGCGTAAACTGATGGCACTATAGAAGTACATGAAATAAAAAAAAATAAATTAAAAATAAATTAAGATTCTTGTGTCAAATAACTGCAGAGTGTGCTGGGGAATGTTTTGTATTGTTCTGCCCACATCCACCTTTTATTTTGACATTTACACAAGATGCCATGGTTATTCTGCTGGATTTGGTGCAGACACACAATGGTGGAATTCAGCTGCCTTGAGCGATGATAGGCTTTTGGGGTTTTGCTGTACCTTTAAGTAGAAATGGGCTACCTCAAAAGCACAGCTGCATATAAACAGGCATGAGCAAATCTGCCCTGGATCAATTCACAGTGTTGCGACTCGAAGATTGGCAACTTAGCAACAAACTGCATTAAAGTCTATGGAGGGAAGAATCTTGTTATTCAGGTCATTTGTAGGGCTAAGACCTCATGCACACTGGAAGTGTAGTTCCAGGGAATGAGATTCCATTGCATAAGATTCCCCACAGCTGATAGCCTATAAAAGTCAATGACAGGCTGCAACCACTGGGGCTGGATGGTGTATTAATGGAATGAATGCTCAGAAAACAGACTTCCTTAATTCCAGGCATTTGTCCCTGGGCACGTACTGCCCTAAATGTTAGTGACACTAGGGACACCATCCAGTCGCAGCCATTTGCAGCCTCTGACTTTTACAGGCTGTCAGCAGTGCTGCTGGACATTGGGCCTGTGCCTTCTGCTCACAAGAAAACATTACAATCTTATGTACAAGGGCTAAAATAGCCAGTGTGCATAAGACCTAATAAGAAAGCTTTTTACAAAAAGGAACAAAAAGCAGGGCACTGCCATGGGGGAAGTATCAATGCCAAAATTAAAAACACAGTACAGGCGTACCTCGGTTTACGAATTTATTGCGTTCTGCGGGACTTTTCGTATTGCGAAAAATTCACAAACCGAAACACGGTTTCCCATAGGAATGCATTGAAAACCAATTAATCCGTTCCGGAGGTCAGAAAACAGTCACAAAAAAAAAAAAAAAAAAAGAAAAAAGTCTTTTATCTGTTCAACACACTCTATAAAGTGCACGTTAAAGGCATAAATACTGTACGACATGATTAAAAAAAAAAAACTTGTAAACGCATTGAAAACCAATTAATCCATTTGTATTGCAAAAAAAATCATAAATGCATTTAAAACCAATGAATCTGTTCGAGGTCAGAAAAAAAAAAAAAAAAAAGGCTTATCTGTTCAAAACTCTTTATAAAGTGCAGTTTAAAGGCATAGTACTGTACAGGGACATGATTAAAAAAAAAATTGTAAATG